CAACAGATTACCACCAAAAACTTTCTGTATTTGTGGACAAAAACCTACCACAGTCAGCCTCTTATATAACTGATGCTTGAAATTCCCTTAAAATGGGTAGTCAGGACAAGAAATGGTGCAGTCACAATTGAACATAACTGCCAGTGGGCATCTCACTTTTTGACCTCCAGGACATTTTTGACTTTCATAAGAAGTATAAGAAAAGAGTATGGAAGCTTTTTGTGTCAGTGGGTTATGAAGATGGATATTTACTTGCTAAGAAATTAAAATCTGTGGGCTAGGGTTGTAGCTCAGTGGTAGAGTACTTGCCTAGTACGTGTGAGGCCCTGGGTTTGATCCTCAGCACCACATAAAAATAAATAAATAAAATAAAGGTATTATGTTCAACTACAACTAAAAAATAAATATTAAAAAAAATAAATAAAATAGAGGTCCATCAACAACTAAATTTTTTTAAAAGTGTATGTATCTAATAACAGAAAAAAGAAAATGAACAAAAAAGAAATTAAAATTTGTAGGATTAAAAAAACCTATAGTTTTATGAAGCATCAGTAGTGACTGATACTGATGTACTCAGGCAAAAACACTATTAAAAGGCAAGAGGAGGAAAAAAAGAAACTTGGATTGTAGTGGTCTGACTTCAGCATGGAGAAATCCAAGTTTGTGTGTCTAATGGGATGGGTGGAAATTCATCTGGAAAAATTGGCCTTTGAAAGGCAGCTTCTTGCTGACTAAACCCAAGGGTTTTCTCCTAGACCTTGATTCTGTGGCAACCTCCAGCACTGGAAGTTCACTCAGCAAAGCTTGTGGATGACCATGGATGTCTGAGCCCAAGTGGTAGCATGACTGTATTTTTGTTTATTTACACTTTCCTGCTTTGGGCTGGGGCTGGGGCTCGGTGGTAGAGCGCTCGCCTGGCACAGTGAGGCACTGGTTCAATCCTCAGCAACACATAAGAATAAAATAAAGGTATTGTGTCCACCTACAACTAAAAAATACATATTAAAAAAATTTCCTCCTTTTTAACCTCTCTTTCCTTTCCTATTTTTTAATAGCTTGGTATTACATTATACACATCATTACACATTTATCTAAACCCACAGAATGTGCAATACCCAGTGTGAACCCCAATGTAAACTATATTCTTTTGGGGATCATGATGTGTCAATGTGGGTTTACTAATCATAACAAAGGTACCAATCACTCCAGAGGCACACAATGATAAGAGGGAGGCTGTGGGTGTGTGGGGTGGGTACACACAGCTTGATTTTGCTGTGAACCTAAGACCACTCTAAAACAATTGTCATTTAAATATATATATATATATATATAAAGAAAGCAGAAGACATTAATAATAATTAAGTAAATTTGATAAAAATATGAGTTAAAAACCACCCAAGAAAAACAACACTGATTTATTCTATACATTAAAATACAACCTTTCCTCCCTACCTCTCACACACATGAACACTCTTTATGGGAACAAGGAAAATACTTATTTTTTTTCCTTTTTGTTCAATTCTAAAAGAATGATTAGGCTGACTGACAGAGGCTGTGGAGAACGGAGATGAGCTAATGGAATTTTTCATCTTTAGTGCAAGGGCCATGTAGCTTTTCAAATGAGACTGCAGTCAGTCATGTGAAATATATAGCAAGGTCAAAGTTAAAATGGGTTCTGACCGGCTGTGGTCTGAAAAAGGGGGAAGCCAACAACATTAGCACATAAGAGCCATGCCATAAAGATAGGAGAGTTGACTCACCAATGCCCAAGATGTCCCTCAGGACAGCGGGTGGGGCTGAGAGTATGGGGGGATGTCAGGGAACAAACACTGAGCTCAGCAACACCCGAAAAGAGCTTCTTATTATCCCTGTGCTCACGGTCCTTCCATTGTGCACCTACCCACAGTAGCAAAATTCAAAGTCTTAGCTGTTAACAGAGAACGGTTCCAGGGGCCTGTCCCTATTTTGTAAGTTTACTGTGCATTTTACAAAACCTTCAGGGGCCATGCTGTGTAGTTTGTAGTATGAAGAATGACAGTAGCTTCATAAAGCGCTCGATGTACAGATAGTGATGATTAAAGTTTCAGAGAAGTTAAAATATAGCTTATAAATCTACCCTGGAACTGGGTTTGGTGGCACACACCTGTAATTCTAACAACTCAGGAGGCTGAGGCAGGAGGATTACGAGTTCAAAGCCAGCCTCAGCAACTTAGCGAGGCCCTAAGCAACTTAGTGAGACCTGTCTCAAAATAAAATATAAAAAGGGCTAGGGATGTGGCTCAGTTAAGCACTCTTGGGTTCAATCCCTGTTTCGAAAAACCAACCAACCAATCAAAAAACCACCCTGGTCAGTAGTCACTGTCTTGGGGAAAACTTTTACACTAAATTATTAATGGTGTGTGTGGAGGGGGGCAGATCATTGCCTGGTCTCTTCCATCTGCCTAGTAAGTGCCTATTTATTCTCAGAGCCTTTCCTCAAAGCATCACCTCTGCTCTGAAGCTTGCCCAAAGCCACCTGAGCAGAGCAAAGTAACCCCTTCACTTTGCAACAATCCTCACTCTGTACTATGATCCTATTTTTTTTTTTTTTTTTGTAGTACTGGGGAATAAAACCGGAGCACTCTTACCAGTAAGCTACATCTCCAGCTCTTTTTATTTTGAGACAGGGTCTCACTAAGTTGCCTGAGCTGCCCTTGAATTTATGATCTTTTGTCTCAGCCTCCTGAGTAGCTGGGATCACAGGTCTGTACCACTGCACCCAGCTGGATTTTGTCTTTTGTGACTGTTTCCTCAATAAATCTGTACACTTCTTGTCATTCACACACACACACATACACTTCCTTCATCTGCTTGACAATATTAAAATCTTTCCCTAGGGCAAGACTTTTATCCTACAGCTACCTAGAATGCTGATGGTGCAAATAACCATGAGGGAAGTGTCATATTGCCACGAACGTTAGATAACCTGTTTTACCCCTTTCCCTGATAGTTACTCTTCACCCTATCACGATTTGGCTTCAGCCTCTAATGATCCACTGAAAATGATCTGGCAAAGGTCACCTTTTTGTACTTCTTGAATTTTATAGCATGTGCATGTATGCATACAAAAAAGTTGTATTTAAAAGTTCTGGAGAACAAGTGCTTTAGGAAGTAGCTGAGTAGCTCTCTGGGCCTTGGTTTCCTCATCTCTAAAAAAATGAGGGGGCTCAACATTGTCACTAAGATCTTGGCCAGCTGAGAAAGGTTACATTATGTTCAGTGCCTTTAGTTTAGGAAAATGGGGGAGGGGAGAAGAATCACTTAAACATGGCTCAACATGCCCCACAAAGAACTGGCCCCTCAAAGTAACTTTGTGTAAAATATTTTGAAAACTAGGTAGATTCACAATGCACACCACAATAAACCTTGCTGTGTGAGCTTATATCTGCTCCCTCCACCACCCTTGGTCACTTTCCTAGTACAGGTCCTCAAAGACCTACAGAAGCCGAGACTTAAAAGCTGCTGAATAGCATTCTGGTAGTCACCATTCAACACAGAGAAACAGATCCAGAGTCAAGGGTTTTCCCACAGTCTATAGATTACTGTAAGAGGAGAGGCCAAATGCTGCACCTTTTAATTTCTCCCAGCAAAATAAGTATTGTTTTTAATCTCTTTGAGAAGTGTAAATACAGAAAAAAAAAATAGGTCAGAACTGGAATCTAAGTGAAAAACGAAGCATTCTAGAATCTCAAGAGAATCATCAACTCACCAACTTCAGTGCCTTTTCCCAGAGTGAAGGTAATTCCATATCCCTTGAGTCCATCTCCTGCATCAGTCTCCAGGACAACATAGGCAGCCGAGTAGTCAGGGTCTGTATGCTGAAGGAAAGGTGACCCATACCCACCAAATGCAAATGTAAGAAACCCAGAAATAACCATGACAATGACACCTGAAACAGAAAATGCAATAAGGGACATGCCAAGAAGAGATCCAATCTGATGGAAGAGTTGGCGCACCCCCCAAAAAATACAGGAGATCTGAATGGACCAAAGGAAAGTCCTGAATGGTTCACACCCATTCAACAAATACAATGTATATTTTTTTCCTTTGGTGCTGGGGATAGAATTCAGGTCCTGGAGCATGCTAAAGCATACCCTGTACCACTGAGCTACACCTCTAGTCCCAGATGTACACATTTTTTAATGCCAATTTGCAATGATATCAAAAAACTTGATGTTCAGCTGGGTGTGGTGATGCATGCCTGTAATCTCAGTGGCTCGGGAGGCTGAGGCAGAAAGATTGTAGGTCAGCCTCAGCAACTTGGCAAGGCTCTGAGTAACTTAGTGAGACCCTGTCTCAAAAAAAAAAAGTTAAATAAAGGGCTGGAGACATGGCTCAGTGGTTGTGTGCCCTTGGGTTCAATGCCTGGTACAAGGAAAAAAAAAAAGGTCATCTGCTCAATTTCATATTAATATCATTGTCATTACCGTTATTGTCATTTGTGGTGCTGGTGATCAAAACCAGGGCTTCATACATGCTACAAAAGTGCTCTACCACTGTGCAATGTCTCCAGGTCTCAGCTCAATTTTAAACCCAAGAATTTCCAATCACAGCTCACTGAACAGAGTTATGTTGGCAAGTTGCTTAAAATTGAACAAGCCAAGGTTTCAGAAAGCTCTTACATAAAATTGGACTGATCTTCACTGCAATAGTTTATAGCAGGGATGATAATATAACAGTGCAAGTTCAGAGACTACTGGCAGAAAAAGAAGTAAAGCTTCAAGACAAATTAACCCATTTTGTTGTTGTTTTCTATTGTTTTTATTTTTTATTTTTTTATGGTACTGGGGATTGAACCAGGGGTGTTTTATCTCTGAACTACATACCCAGCCCTTTTATTCTTTTATTTTGAGACAAAGTCTCACTAAGTCACTAAAGCTGGTCTTGAATTTGCAATTGATCCTCCTGCCTCCCAAGTCACTGGGATTACAAGTGGGTGCCATCAAGCCTGGCTAGAGAAGAGTCTTAATGGGAATGTGCAGTGAGATGGGAAAGCCTTGGAGAGGGAAGAAGGGGGCCAGTGGAGGAAGAAGGAGTAGTCAGAAAGGCTGAGGCTGGGAGCTAGACAGATGCACAAGGAAGAGACAGCAGATGGTATGAAATGCATGGAGCGTAAAGGTCACTGGAAGGAGAAAAAACTGAAGGCAATTCCAAGAGAAGGAAGGAAAGAGTAGTCAATTTCAGATTAAGAAGGAAGGAGATGTAAAGGATAAGGCAACAGACCTAGAGCAGGAAGTTTGGGGATGAGAGGAAGAAACCAAAAGGAGCTAGAAAGGTGTAAGGATCAAACTCAGACTCTTCTAAAGGGAAAGCTCTGTCCATGTGGGATGGAAGAGAACCAAAGTAAATAGGTAGTACTGAAGGACAAAGGGATATAAGTGGGACCCTTGAGAATAAATAAGGGAAGGAGAATGATTAGCTTTGGAGCAGGACATGATAAAGAATAAAGGGAGGGCTGGGGATGTGGCTCAAGCGGTAGCGCGCTTGCCTGGCATGCGTGCGGCCCGGGTTTGATCCTCAGCACCACATACAAACAAAGATGTTGTGTCCGCTGAAAACTAAAAAATATTAAAAAATTTAAAAAAATCTCTCTCTCTCTCTCTCTTTAAAAAAAAAAAAAGAATAAAGGGAAATAGGAGAGGGGTTGGTTTGGAGACATGTGTGCAGAGATGGGGCCAAGAGTATGACTGTCTTCAGTCTTCTCAGTGATGCAGTAGGCAACATCTTCTAACTGCTGGGAGGACAGGACTAGGGATTAAGGGAGCTCACAGACAAGGAGCAAATAAGAGGAAAAATACTGCAAGGAGGTGCCAGTGGGCAGCTGAGCTGGGATGCGAGCTCACAGCTGAGGGGCTCTCTGGGTGCTTGATGAGTGCTGGGAAGCAAGAAAGTAGTAAATACATGCAGGCTGAGTGCTCCATGTTTCCAACAAGGGCAGAAAGAAATGATCAGGAACTTCTGCTTTAACAGATTTTGAAGACAGTTTCAGGACTCCTTTATAAAAATACCAGACTTCGCATCAGGAAGTTTTGCTCTGCTAAGTGCTGAAAAGTAGCTGAAGTGCTGAGTTCAGCATGGCCAGAGGGCAAATGAAGCAATCACCGTGGAGAACTGCAAAGCAGTGTGTTCTACTAAATGCTTGAGAGTCAGCACATAACATACACTCTATCTCCTGAGGAGAAATGCTTATGTGTTTATGAAATTGCAATACAGGTATCAGATAATTTTTCCTCACCTAGGGGTCATACACCACTCAGTCCCAGAAACAAATGCTATTTCTTAAACTCTCCTATAATAAAATAGTTTATCTTAACACTTCACAAATTCAAAGCTCAGGGCGAGGTCAGAGTTCTTTCTGCTTTCAGTTTCCTCTTATGTAAATAGTAACTATAGCCAATTCTTATTGAAGACCTTCTCTCTGTCAGCTCTTTTCAAGTATCTTATTTTACATGCATGAAGTAGACACCACTGTACCCATTTTATAGATGAGAAAGCCTAGGCTTAGAATGTGGGTTTACCCACAGCTGTCAAGCTTCAGAGGGGCAAATGCAGTAGCACTCAATTAAGTGTTCGCACTTTTACAAATTAGTAAAATTTCAAATATTTATTTGGAGGTCCACAAAGGATCATCAACTGGATTTACAAAAAGTCATTTATCATAATATCATTTGTGAAAGGACTTGTAGGAATTTTGAAAAGCAGTAAGATGCTAATGCCAGAATAAGGGATACTTTTTTTTTTTGCATTTAATAACATTACTTAGCATGTTTTGAGAGGACTATTAGAAAATTCTTTTACAAAGAATTTCAGGTTCATAAAGAGCAGAGAAAAATGTAAAGACCACCAATCTGCCATCTACCCATCTTGGAAAGTAAAACATCACAGTGTGAATAACGAGTCCTTGGGTACCTTTCCTCACCCCATTTCCTCTTCACCCCTACAAGGAAACATTTTCCTAATTTTGGTTATTTCTCACTTTGGGGTAAGTTTTTTTTACATTTCCTACATATGGAGTCAACTTTTTCCTAGTATGGCCATCTCACCAGAGGAGCAAAGTGGATCCAGTGGGGCACAGTCCCTGTGAAGACCCTTCTCAGAGGCTGAGGATGTACTCAGAGGTAGAGTGCTTGCCTAATATGCCACAAGTCCCAGGGATGGATTCCCAGAACTGCAGAAGGAGGAAAAATCCCCCAAACAAAATCCTGCTCAGAACCTTTATATTTAGGAACACCACTAGAGACAGCTGGGAGGTGGGGGCGCTGGGATAGGGAGAGGGGTCCCTCTGACATTCTCATTAAGGGGAAAAAGTCCTTCAATATTTTGCATAACTCCTTACAGTGACAAATCCTTCCTAACCAAGTTTCTAAGTACAGTAATTTCACGAGTGTTCTCCTATGTGCCTAGAGTATTCTTCGGTGCTTAGTTTCTCATTCCAACTGTGACCCCTTCGTTTCATAGTCCCAAAAGGCAGAGAAGTTTGGGTCTTCTCCAAGGCACACAGCAAAGTTGTGGCAGGGGCAGGATCACCACTCCAGACTCCCAGCTCCAGACTTCCTGGTCTCTGTCACTTCAAATCCTATCAAGTTCACCGCGGGGAAGCTGTCAGCACTGTTTTCTCGGGTTTCCTTGGTGGGGACCCTATAGAACTCTTTTGCACTTATTGAATAATAAGCACTCTCTCCTTTCCAGGAAAACGTGAATCAAAAAAAGTAAAACCAAGACATTTCAAACGCGGGCAAATAAAATACGATAAATAAGGGGAAAAATAAACCAGAAAGGTGAAGAGTTTCTGGCTGCTTCCTCAGCGATATGAAAAGCTTCCACCTTCCCCGCGCATCCAGGTCCCACTGTACTGAAGCCAGGTAAAGCCCGCGACTCGCGGGCCTGGGTGTTGTCCCGGCGGCGCCTTGGGCAGTCGGTCACGCTTACCATGGCGTCTGAGCCGTGGCCCCCGAGCGACGTGGGGAAGCGCACGTCCCGGACCGAGAGGCGGGAGATCCTGCCGCGCGCCATGTTGCCGGCGCCAGGGAGCCGTCAGCGGCGATCCCGACGCCGAGAGCCGCAAAGGAGCGGCGGGGCGGGGCAGCCTCGCGGAGGGGCGAGCGCTGATTGGTCGCCCGAGGTGGGGGGCGCGGCCGCGCACGTGGACTTGGCCTCGTGGGTGCTGCAAGTTCAGCTCCCCCGGATTCGCCCGCCTTTCTTGGAGTTGCGGTTCAGGCTGGCCCGCGCGGCCTACGCGAGGGTTCACTCCCAGTCTAGATGGCCCCTGGGGGAGAAGGAGGTGCGTGCCCCACGGGCAGCCCGGCGCAAACCTGCCCCGCCTCGACTGGAAGGGAAGGGACTTGCCAGGAGCGGCGCCGAGAGGGAGAAACCAAGTTCGACCTGGACGCAGGTGCGGGCCAGTGGTTCGCCCCGCTCCAGACAGCACGTCCCCAGGAGTGTAGTGGAGTAGAAAATTCTATTTATTTATATGTGGTGCTGAGGATCGAACCCAGGGCCTTGAACGAGTGCTCTACCGCTGAGCCATATAACCCCAGTCCCCCTAGATCTCTTTAAACGCCCTCAGTCTTTTTGCCACCGGACAAATTAGAAGTTAGCAGGGATTACCTACTCCATTTACAGCTAGTGAAAGAAAGGCACCTGGTATTGGTTGTAAATATATATTGCCAACTCCAGGGCAGCTACTTTAAAAAGTGGGAAAGAAAAGTATAACTGGTATGTTAAGAGAGAGAATACAATCATATAAAATCCTCAGTTCACAAAGGGCGGAAAAAGAATGGAAAGCAAAAATAGGAACAAAGAACAAAGAAACGAATAAAAATAGTGACAAATGTAGTAGATATTAATAAAAACTGAATATAAGTGGTCTACATGCACCAATTAAAAGACAGAAATGGCTATGTTAAGACAAATACAGATTACAAGTAAATGGTTTGTGTCCCCCCCCACCATATTGAAATTTACTGATATGATAGTATTAAGACATGGGATTAGGAGGTTGCTAAACTCATGAGGGCTCTGCCTTCATGAGTGGAATTAGTAACCTTATAAAAGGATGGGAGGGAATAGCATTCACCGCTTCTTCCTTGTGAGGGCACAGTGTTCAAGAAGCTATCTTGGAAATAGAAACCATCGTCCTCTCCAGATACCAAACTGACTAGTGCTTCTGTCTTGGATTTCCTAGCTCCCAGAACTGTGAGGAGATAAACTGTGTTCTTTGTAAATTATCCAATGTATGATATTTTGTAATGGCAACATAAACAGACTGAGACAGGTAGACAAAAATACACCATGTCGGGCTGGGGCTGGGGCTCAGTGGTAGCACACTTGCCTGGCATGTGTGAGGCACTGGGTTCGATTCTCAGCACCACATATAAATAAATAAATAAAGGTCTATCAAAAAGTTAAAAAAAAATTAAAAATACACCATATTAACGCTAATCAAAAGAAAGCAAGTATGGCTATATTAATTTCAGTTGGAGTAGACTTCAAAGCAAAGAAAGTCAAGGATAAAGCTTGAGGCTAGCCTCTGCAATTTAGGAACACCCTGTCTCAAAATAATAAAAAGGGATGGGGATATAGCACAGTGGTAAAATGGTCCTGGATTTAATCCCTAATCCCTAAAAATAAAATTAAACACTCCAACAATGTATAAAAAGAATTACAGACCCCGACCAAGTAGGCTTTATTCCAGGTGTGCAAGGCTAGTTCAACACTGGAAATCAATCAGTGTAATCCATCATTCAACAGGCTAAAGAAAAAAAATCATGTGATAATAAATGTAGAATAAGCATTTGACAAATCTAATTTGACACTCATTCATAACAAAAACTCAGTAAACTAGGATTAGAGGTGAACTTCCATAACTTGATACGGATTATCTACAAAAGCTCCTATAGCTTAAATCATATTTAGTGTTGAGAAGTTTTACCACCAAGATCAGGAAGGAGCAAGGCAAAAATGTCCCCTCTCACCACTGCTTTCCAGCATAGTACTGGAAGACCTAGATAATCTAATAAGACATAAAAAGGAAATAGAAGGTATATGTGTTGGGAAGGAAGAAATAGAACTCTTTGTTCCACTGATGATATGATTATCTATAGAAAAATTTGAGTCAACAAAAAACTACTGGAACTAATAAATGATTATAACAAGTTTGCTCATATAAAGTTCACATATAAAAGTCACTTTCTTATACACTTGTTCCAATGAACAAATGGAATGTGAAATTAAATACAACACAATTTACATTAGCACCTGAAAACTGAAATATGGAATATTTTCATTTCCCTTAAAATCCTCTGTATTCTGCCTATTTATTCCTCCCTCTCTGCTAACCCCTGGCAACCACTGAACTTTGTCTTTTGTTATGTCTTTTCCAGGTCATATGGTCGAACATCCAGTACCTAGTCTCTTTCAGATTGGCTTCTTTCCTTAGTAATACACATTTGCATTCACTCTGTATTTGTTCCTGGCTTAATATTTCACTTCTTTGAATTTTAATTTTTTTTGGTGGTTGGGATTCAACAAAGGCCTTTATGCAGGCTAAATGTGCATTCTGCCACTGAGCTATATTCCTGGTCCACTCATTTTTTTTTTAACACTGATTAATAATTAATTATCTGGATGTACAATGGTTTGTTTATCCATTCACCTACTGAAGGACATTGTGGTTGCTTCCAAGATTGGTAATTATGAATAATGATACTACTTTAATCTGAACATGTACCTTCCAAAATACAGATGTTGAAACTTAATGGCCAATGTGATGATCCGAAAGAGGTGGAGCCTCTAAGAGGTGATGAAGGTAATGAGGGCTCCTTTCTCATGAATGCAATTAAGGCTCTTAACAAAGAAGTTTCATGTAGCATTTGGCTGTCTTACCTTTCTGCCTTTCACCATGTGGGGACACAGCCCTCCTCCCCTCTGGAGCATGCAGCAACAAAGCACCATCAGGGAAGCAGCGAGCAGCCCTCATCAATGCTTTGGTCTTGGACTCTCAGCTTTTAAAACTGTGAGGAAGTACATTTTTGTTCTTTATAAATTACCCAGTCTGTGGTATTTTGTTATAGCCCCACAAATGGACTAGTACAACTGCTGTAAACATTCATGTGTCTGTGTTTGTGTGGATGGATATACATTTTCAACTCATTTGGGCTTCTCAGTATTCACCAAGCAGCAGGATTTTTAGAGTACATGGAAAAAGTATGTTTCATTTGCAAGAAACCACCAAACTGTCAACTTGATTCTACCATTTTATATTCCCATAAGCAATGAATGAAAATTCCTGTTGCTTTACATCTTCACCATCATTTGGTTGTATCAGTGTTTGGGGTTTTGGCCATTCCAATAGATATGTAGTGGTAACTTGTTTTGTATTTCTCTGATCAGATATGTAGTGAAGCATTTTTTGCTATGCTTACCTATCATCTGTATATCTTCTTTAGTGAGCTATCTATTAAGGTCTTTGGCCATTTCTTAATATGGTTGGTTGTTATCTTATTGTTGAATTTTAAGAGTTCTTTGTATATTTTGAATAACAAGCCTTTTATTAGATATGTCTTTTGCAAATATTTTCTCCAAGTCAATGGCTTGTCTTTTTGTTCTCTTGGTAGTGTTTTTTGCAGAACAGAGATTTTACATTTTTAATGTCATATATGGCTACAAATCCATAGAAAGTACAACACTAAAACTGAATCCAAACGTAAACTGTGGAAAATACAAGAGGAGGGACATCTCCTCATTTTAAAAAGAGGTTAGAAGACAATACTTTCAGGGATCATTTCTATAGTTTGTTTCTAGAGAAGTTTCTTTGAATGTGTAGAGTACGGGAAATGACAAGAAAGAGATGAAGTGTCCTTTCCTGAGTGTGAAGTTGGCCCTTGTTTTGTTCCAGCTGCTATTTGCCACTGCTGACCATTGTTCTCCCTTTGGGGGAATAACAGGAAGAGGACACCATCTGAGTGGTTTCTGTTATGATTTTGGTAAAAATAAAAAAAAGTAAAAAGAAGTTAGTATATTACCCTGATACTAAAACAAAGGTTACAAAAAAAGTTACAAAAAAAGCTACTAGAACTAATATTAAAAGTTCACAGGATACAGGGTCTATTTATTTAGGGTTAGGGATTGAACATAGGGCTTTTCCAATTTATATTTGATACACTAGTTATCAAGAATTGGAAGTTAAAATAAGAACATAATACATCAAGTCAAGTGTGGTGGGGGTGTGTCTGCTGTTCTAGCTACTTGAGGGGCTGAGGTAGAAGGATCACTTGAGTTCAAGGAGTTCAAGGCTAGCCTGGGCAACATATTGAGACCCTATCTTAAAAACAAAATCAAAACAAACAAAAACCAATATCTCTTACAAGTGCATAAAAAGTATGAAATACTTGGGACAAATTTAACAAAAAAATATGCAAGATCTGTATGCTGAAAACTTTAAAAATTGCTGAGCAAAAAGAAGACTTAAACATATGGAGAAATTTCGTATTATTGGATTGGAAAATTCAATATAGATTTGATACAATGTAATCTGAATCTCCAGCAGGACTTTTGTTTGTTTTGGTGGTGCTGGGGATTGAACTCTGGGGCTCAGGCATGCTGGGCAGGCCCTCTACCACTGATCTATATCCTCAACCCTTACCCAGGAGGGGTTTTAAACAAAGGTTGACATTTTAGTTAATTCTAAAATGTATATGGACAAAAATATGTGTGGAAATTTAAATAGCCAGTTTTCAAGAGGAACAAAGCTGAAGAACTTAAGCTATCTGATTTCAAGACTTACATGAAAAAGTTTTCTAAAAATGGAATACAGACTAAATCTAAGAGTTAAAATGATAAGACTTGTAGAGAAAACATAAGAGAAAATCTATGAATGTGGGTAAGCCACGTTTTTTTTTTTTTTGTACCGGGTATTGATCCCAGGTGCACTCAACCACTAAGCCACATCCCCAGCCCTATTTTGTATTTTATTTAGAGACAGGGTCTCACTGAGTTGCTTAGCACCTCACTTTTGCTGAGACTGGCTTTGAACTCTTGATCCTCCTGCATCAGCCTCCTGAGTGGCTGGGATTACAGGATGCGCCACCGCGCCCCATTAAGCCACATTTTCTTTTCTTTTTTTTTAAATATTTTTTTGTAGTGCAAGGTGAGCACTCTACCGCTGAGCCATAACCCCAGCCCCAAGCCATATTTTCTTATGATACAAAAAGCATAAAAGGAAAAATATGATAAATTAGACTTCATCAAAATTGTTTTCTTGTGTAAAAGTCAGGGTAAAATCAAGCTGCAGATTGGGATAAAAAGATTTGTAAAACATAATGTGACGAAGGACTTGTATCCAGAATGCTGAAATGGCAACTCACTACCAAAAAATGGGTAAAATGTTTTAGAGACACCCCTCAAAAAAGATACAGGAATTTGGGCTGGGGTTGTGGCTCAGTGGTAGAGCACTTCCCTAGCACCTGTGAGGCACTGAGTTCAATCCTCAGCACTGCATGTAAATTAATAAATAAAATAAAGGTCCATCCAACAACTAATAGAAATATTTTTTAAAAAGATACATGAATTCAAAATATGCTTAAGACTCTTAATATGTTAATCATTAGGGAAATTCACACTAAAACCACCATCACAATACTATATCTACCAGAATGGTAACAATTAAAATGGCTAGCAAAAGCAGGTATTGACAAGCATGGGCTCTCATGCATTGCTGATAGGAGTACAAAATGGCAGACTCTTCAGAACACAGGTTGGCAGTTTCTTAGAAAAGTTAGTTACTTGCACCATACAACTTGGTAATCTTACTCCAAAGTATTCAAGAGAATTTAAAGGCTACATTTACAGTAAAAACTTACACTTGAATATCCATAGCAGCTTTATTCATGATAGCCTTAAACTGGTGATACATCGATACAGTGGAATATCACCGAGCATATGGATGAACCTCAAAAGTATTATGCTAAGTGAAAGACATCAGACACAGTGATTACATATTATTCCATTTGTATCCATAGTGACAAAGTACTCAGTGGTTGCCAGGGTTCAGAGGCGAATGGAGAAGACTCTAAAGTGACATGATGGAATTTTCTGGTATGACAGAAATGTTTTATATCACAATTGAATGGTAGTGGTTTTGCGACTGAAATATTTGTCAACTTATCTAAATGTGCACTTAAAATGATAAATTTGGGGCTGGGGTTATGGCTCAGCGGTAGAGCGCTGGCCTCCCACATGCAAGGTCCTGGGTTCAATCCTCAGCACCATATAAAAATAAATAAATAAAAGTTATAAAAATGGTAAATTTTATCATATATAAATTATAATAAAAATTTTAAAAGTTCTCTTAAGGATCCCTCAACCTCTTTGAATTTGCTGATTCTAAGTTTGAAATCTCTGGAATTGCACTTGAAGAATTTCCTCTTGTATTTTCTTTCTACCTTTTATTTTTTTAGGTTCTGGGGATTGAACCCAGGGTTACTTTACCACTGAGGCACATCCTCAGCCCTTTTTGAGACAATGTGTAACTAAGTTGCTGAGGCTGGCTTTTTGATCTTTCTGCCTCAGCCTCCTGGCAAGCCATTCCAGGCAAGCATCACTGCACCTGGCTTGTATTTTCTCTGGACTAGGTTTCTTTAGGCTCTAAGAGTTTCTCAAAATTTCTACCAGGCTGATTCTACCCTTTTCTAATTTCTAGCAAGGTTAAGGACTACAGAAATAACCAATTACTACAGTTCAGATATGAAATGTCCTCCAAAGGCTCATGTGTTGAAAGTTTGGTTCCCACTCTACTACAGTGGTGGGACTTTTCAGAAGTGATTGGATCACAAGAGCTCTAATCTCACTAATAGATTAATCCATAGCTGAATGGACTACTGGGAAGTGGTGGAACCTGTAGGAGTGGGACATAGTTGAACAGAATGGATCCTTGGGAGTGTGCCCTTGTGTTCTACATCTTTGCCCCAGTCCCTTCCTCCCTCTGTCTGTCATTGAGGTGAGCAGCTTTGCTCCAGCATACCCTCTTTACCATGATGTTCTGCTTCACCATAAGCCCAGAGATGGGGCCAACAACTGTGGACTGAATCTCTGAAACCATGTGCTAAAATACATCTTTCCTCCTTAAAATTGTTTTTCTTAGGTATTTTGTCACAGCAATGGAAAGCTAATATATTAACCAAATCTACAAACTAGAACTTTGGTCATTTCCAGGAACTTAGGAGACATAAAGGCATATATTCACTTGCCATCTAGTTCCATAGTATATTCCCTAGTTTTAGGAGACTAAAGCTTCCTTGAAAATAATACAATTATTAGTAAATGGAATTTGATAATCTTTAAGGAACACATCACTTTAAATATTAATTTTTATTAGGATCACTGTCAATCATTTTGGCTGCCAACTTTTACCTCTTATTTCTGCCATCCCTATTATCAAAAGTTGTCTAGAGGCACTTTTTTCCTTTGCATTTTCTAAGTCCTCCAGCTTCCTCAAATTAACTTGACCTTTAAGGTTTAAGTGAAGTTCTTCCATGTATGTGTGTTATCCAGTGTCCCATCAAGGATCTCTGAAAAGTACTTAATGAATTTCTTTTTCTCATACTCAATCAGCTTTTCTCTTTGCTGAATTGTTTATTTCTTCACTGCTTTTAAACTAGGGCATGAAATCTACCCTTTCTTGTACTTAGTAATTTCCGTTCCTGACCCATAGCTTGTGTACCCAATTTGAGGGAAGGTTTGGAGTGAGGAACACCCAGCATGCACCTTAAAATTAAATATTCAGCATCTCTTTGTTAGAGATCTGGGGCCCATTTTTTTGACCAATTTTAAGGGGCCCATTCTTGCAAATAATTTTTACACACTAAGATATCTTTTTTTCTTTTTTATACCATTTCCTTTTCTTATCACCTCTACTTCCTATTCCTATTGTTTTCATCCATGAATTGAATAATTCATTCATTCTTTAATTGGAGTGGTACAGCTAATCAAATACTCTAATGGAGTTTTACCAGTTTAAAAAATACATAAACGTAATTGAAAAATACTTTGTTGCTATTGTACTGAAAAATTTGCTGTTTTGTTTAAATTGCCACTTTTATAAAAATTGAGTTTTCTATTTTCTATGATACCTGTGACAAATACCAGTCACGGTTTGACTGGAATAGATGGCACACTCAAACTAAGGTAAATCAAAGATATTTATAAAGAGGTGGGCAGAATAGGGGAACAAGGACTCATGCAGTAAGTGTAGTTAGTAGCAAAAACACTGTCAGATACAGAATGTAGCTACCAGTCTCCAAAAGGAGACTGTATGGGGGAGGATGTATTGAGAGGAATCTTCGGCATCAACCCAAATTTACAGGAAGGGAGCCAGAGGAATAAATACCTTGACCTTTCTTTCTAGCTTCCTCTTACCTTCCTCTTGTTGACTTGGCACAACAGGAATCCAGAGAGCAAGGAAATAGCCTAATAAGTACTGATCAGCCTTCCAGGAGTAGGACAGTCCAAATGGTGAGGGAAAATGGATGAATTTGACACACGTTGCAAATTTTTTTCCCTTGCTTTTGGTACAAGGGATTGAACCCTGGGGCACTTTTTACCACTGAGCTACATCCCATCTTTTCTTATTTTGAGATAAAGTTGCTGAAAGTGTCACTAAACTGCTGAGGTTGGCTTTGAACTTGTCATCCTTCTACCTGAGCCTCTGGTTGCTTATTTTAATCATGAATATACCTTTCTCTACTAATAATTTGAATGAGGACTATGGTTGCCAGTGACAAAAACTCAACTTGATGTAAACAAAACAAAACAAAACACAAAAAAAGAGGAGAGTATATACTCTGGAGGAAGGGCAGAGAGGAGCTGATTTTGAGGAAATAAATACTATTGGGCCTTATGCACTGTCTCTGTATGTTGGTTTCTTTTGTAACAAGATAGGAATCTGGCTTTAGAGCAATGTGGTCAGACACTGGATGAGATTCTTCTTCTAATTCCTGAAAGAAAACTTGTAGGACTTAACTATAAGTGAAGATTCACATAAATGGGTTGGAAAGACTGAGCTGGAAGAGGCCAATTCTTATTAAACTAGTTTATAAACAATGCAATCCCAACCAATATCTCACCTGAATTTTTTTGGAATGTGAATAAATGAAGTCTATGCTTTATCAAGAATTTATCAGGATACCAAGATTAGAAAAAAAAAGAAAAATGAATACAAAAGGTAAGCTGCCTTACTGATTATTCAAATGTACTACCCAGTGAAAGTAATTAGAGGTTATGTGAATGGCAGAAATATTAAGTTAATTTGATAAAACAGATGTTGTAAATATGTATATATTCAAGGAAGGAACTCAAATGAGGTGTGAATAGATGAACCAATAGATTGGTGCTGGAAAAATTAATTATATGGGAAAAAGTTGTTAGATCATAAAGACACATTTTATACTTAAATAACTTCCACAAGAATTGAAATTTAAAAAACAAAATCATAAATTATAATATAAATGACATGAACATTTAATTTAGGGTGGATTAAGTGCTTTCTAGCATAATAAATAGCTTTGACAACATACAAATGTACAACTTAAATGTCAGAAAGTACACGTAAAATTAAAAGGCAAACAGCAAACTAGAAAACATCCTTAAGCTGAGGAACTATTACATATTACAAAAATAATGAATGTTTACTGAAGGAAGCATGTGTGCTGATTTAATGTTATTTTTTGAAAATCAGGAAAAAGGCCAATAACAATTTTAGATGACATGATAGTAATGGTAATTAACACAATTACAATTGCACAATCAATGCATTTGATTGGCCATTTACAATTATATAATTTTATTTTTGTTAAACCTGTAATAAAATAATTGCAAAACACACATGAATATACAGATTTTACATTTTTAGAAAATTAAGACCTTTACTGGTCATTCTGTATCCTTCACATAGGTTGTGAATAGCTTCACTCAAATTACTTAACATTTTTCTATGTAATACACTAACTGGGAATTGAACCCAGAGGTGCTTTACCACTGAGTTACATTCCCCAGCCCTTTTTATTTTTTATTTTGAGAAGGGATTTTGCTCTAAGTTGCTGAGGCTGGTCTTGAACATGCAATCCTCCTGCCTCAGCCCCCTAGGGTTGGTGGGATTTACAGGTGTTCCCCATGCTGGTACAATTTTAAAACAAGAAAATATTTGTAAAAATGTCACTCACCTGACATGGAAAACTAACCACATAGAATAGGTTCAGTAGTATTCTAAACTTAACAAAGAACTGATTTAACTCTGTTCAGGAATTACAAGTAATTGAACATTTTTTCCCCAATGGAAGAATAAATTCAGAACATATCAATTTTTAAAAAATTAATGAGAAATATGAACAGCAATCGAAAAGATATGTAGGTGCATTCAACAAGAATTTTTATTTCATTTATCCACAAAACAATATTACAATACTTTATAAAAATATTAAGTTTTAGGCTACTATTCATTAAAAAAAGTGTTTGTGCTAGAAGGCTGTTTTTGCCAACTCCTTTTTTTTTTTTTTTTGGTAAGGGTTATATTAAGACATTGAAGATGAAAGCTGTTGGAAAAAAAAATCTCAAATGTACAAAACTGTTTTTCTTGGCAATTTAAAAATACATAACAATTTAAACTGAATACACATTAAGTTAGTGTTTTATCCTTACTATATAATTGTTATCATTAGGAACTATTTCATTTAGTTAAAATCTAATGAATACCATCAACTTCCTGGCTTATTTTTCTGATCAGAATTAGTACATGATTTTTGTTACCCTTTTTAAAATGCTTAGAAAAATTACATCATAGTTCACATAAAGCCCTTTAAAAAACAAGTCACAGGTTGTAGATGTTAATAATGAGGGCACTCTTTGCAGGAATGCCCTCTAGACACAGGAAATAATACTAAATAGGTTATGTAAACAGAAAACACAACCATAATTTTTAGTACCAGAACTATTGCCAACTTGCATGAAATTCATTTGTCACATTTTAAAATGATTTGAATTTGAACATATAAACCATGGCACAGAATTTTAAATTTAATGATTAAATCAGGTTAAGTGATGATAGTTAAAACTGAAAATATGGGAACCTGATACAGTGTTTTAAAGTGTAACTATAGTACAGTATTTTAAAATATAGATACTAGACTTCTACTTATCAGATTCAGTTTTTCCTCTTTAGCCAGTAATGCTGCTATTGAAATTCATTCTTGGGATTTTTTTTTACAAGTTAAAAAAAAAAAATCAGCTTTATTTTGTATTTTCACTTCTGCACTTTAAATGGGCAAAAACTGTCCCCTTTTAATGATTGTTATTGTGCAGAATACATTTTCCTCCCCAAATCAACTATATTCTAAAAGGAAAAATTGATAATCATTAAGTATAATTAAAAAGTGGAGATTTAAACATGGATTTGAAAACTCTAAAATTGTTCTGCATAAAAACTATGTCACTAGAATTAGTGTGAAGCCTTAACTTCACTATTTTGAGGATGTAACTAACACTCAGTGTGTATGTTAAGAAAATTAGTTTTACAGTCATACCTTATAACTCTTGAAGTCTCAGAAACAGCTAAGTGAGGAGCTTTGAGTGCCAGCAAAGCCATTTTGCCACTCCATGACAACAGCATTAAATATCACATTCCACCCCTCTTCCTGTAAAACTTTCACATTTTCTTTTTCTCATATTTCTTTTAAATACATTTTCCTCTCTTAGTCTATATTCAATACAAGCAAAAGTGCGTTCAAGTCCCTGATCTAGTGATATTTTCTATTTGTGGCACCCATCACCATAAGAACATATTAGCAAATCTTACAGTACCAAGTCTATTTTTAAAAATGGACTGCTTAAATTCTGGGTCTCACTTTTCATGCTAAAGATTAAAAGATTTCCCCTTTGATTGGATAATAAAATTTCAATTATATATTGCCTTTGGGGAAAAAAACAACAATGTAACTTTACAAAAGATGAGTTTACAGTTACTTTCATTTTCCTAAATGTGAATTATTTCAAAAATGAAGTGAGAAATTTCTTTTTCTACTTTCCAGTTCCATGAATCTGAGTATGAACATAGTGCATTAATACTTTCAAATTCCACTGCTGAGGTCTAACATTTAATCAAGTTTTAGGTATTAACCTTTTTGCTTTTGAAAATTATGGCCTATTTCCAAGCAAAAGGAGGCATATGTTAAGACTTATATAGACTGTTTCACATAGGAGAAAAAAAAAAAAAAGCCTTTGAGAATAATAAACACAAGAAAGTCTTAAAAACTGGAATGGAATCATTTGGTCCCATGACGTTCCTTAATTTTAGATTTTACTATGGTATAAGATTTTACCTCTCACTTTTTGTCTATAACAATAAATAATTTTCTCTTTTAACAATCTGAGTTTGGCGAAGAAAAGAGTAGCCTTGTTGTGTTTCCTTACCATGCGATTACCCATACTGTTCAGTATATTATCTCTAAATTTTCTTTGGACCCTGAAATAAGTTGGAAAATTCATCATTGGTACTTTAGAGTTTAACACTCAGGGGAAAAAAAAGTGGTTTTGTGCAACCATATCTGGAATTCCAGTTTACCATTAAAACATGTAGAGTGAAGATTTTCTTCTTTTGATTCCTGTACATAAAGTGAGGAATTCTACACAAGTCTTTACATTTTGGCAGACTTATGCATATAAAATAGGCTACTAGGATTATAACCCCCAGATTACAATCCAGATTATAAATTTTCTCCTGGCTGGTACTGTGGCTCTGTAGCAGTGAAGTAGTCTTCCAGGAAGGACTGGATATATTCAAATGTTGGTCTTTCATCAGGGTCCTTCTTCCAGCAAAGATTCATCAATTCATGCAGAGATTCTGGACAGCCCTGAGGGCAGGGCATCCTATATCCTCGTTCTACCTGTTCCAGCACTTCACGGTTTACCATACCTAACACACAACATTCAAACGTTAAAGACAAAAAAAATCCTAAAAAAAATGATCCTAACCATCACTAGCAAAACAGAACAAATCCCCTAACCACTAGCTGTATATGAAGGTATGTTAAGTTTATTTAGTAAAAGATTCTTTTAATAAAAAATACAATTTAGACATCAGAGTATATCCAGAGAAACTTAGAAAATGCTAATCTATATTTAAACATGTTCAATTTTTAATTCTGCCTAAAATTTTACTTTCCACACTAATTTCTTCAAAAGCCAATCCCATTTAGTTAATGAGAATTCAGGGTACCATTTTGAAGTAAGATAATTTCTGATATTAATGTTTAACAATGCCTAACTTGGGCACACTTGAAGAATGGAGGCCAGATGGTGTCTGAAAGAACTTTCAAATAGGAATTCCAAGAATTTCAGTCCTGGTTTTGCTAAATATACTAACTACATAATTATATTGAGTCACCTCCCTGAAACAGTTTCCCTTATCTCATTTATCTGTTTGACTTTCTTCTTGTTATTACACACAGTTCCTTTCTTCTACTCCTTTGTAAACTTCCCTCTTCCACCACTGGCAACTCACCCCGCATTGGCAGAGGCTTGGCTGTCTCACCACGACAGCAAACCCATCATTCCTCCTATCTCCTATATCACCCCCCATTTCCTGCCTATCCACAAGGCAAGCTATTCCTCATATCTTCTGCAATCTTAAACTGACTGTCAGCAATAAGATTTTTCATAGACTATGATTCTCTTAAAACAATGTAATGAGATTAAATTATTATCTCTATTTCTATTTTTAGTTATAATATGAGGAACAAGTGATTCTTTAAAAACCTTTAAAAAAATATTAAAAGAAACTGCATAACTATTACTTTGGGGTCCAACACTTGAAAAGAAGTTTTCTGTGATTTTCATCTAGGTAAGCAGATTTTAATAACTGAAATCCACTATATTTTACCCAACACAGAAATATAAGCAGAAGTTCTTTGGGAGGAGGAGAAAAGGAGCAGGTACTTAACATTCAATGAGTGCTAACTTATAATTGGTGAACTTTCCCCCCACTTCTATGCCTTTTTTAAAATTTTATGCTTAACAGATTGTTAAGATTAATCAATCTAAATAAGCCTGAACCTATACAAAAGTAACCTTCCATTACCAATAATTCTTTTTTTGTCAGGTGCTAAAGAGTAAACCCTGGGCCCTGCTCCTGCTAAGCATGTACTATTACCATTAAGTTATATCCCCAGCCCTAATTATCAATAAACTCTTTCATTCAAAACTTTACCCTTCAGAATTTTCTGACAATCACAACTAATGAATTATTTTATGACAACAGTTACATAAGTACAATATAGCAGAAATGGCCTCTGGTAGAAATACTATCATCTTCAGGGGCCTGGGATTGTGGCTCAGAGGTAGAGCGCTCACCTAGCATGAATGGGGCACTGGGTTCGATCCTCAGCACCACATAAATATAAAATAAAGACATTGTGTCCACCTATAACTAAAAAATAAATATTAAAAAAAAAGAAATACTATCTTCAGGAAGAGAATTATTTCCTGTAAAGGAATTTCTGAATTTCATAATGAAATACAACTACCTGAACATAGCACAAAGTTCTTTCTCCCCAATATCTCAGTAAAAAAAGGAGATAGGAAGATTCTAAGATTGTTAATACTTAAAAGGAAATATTTAGCACTCTGTCAATAAATTTAAATATTTCATACTTGTTTGCCTTTGCCACGGTTTATTACTATCCTACAACAAGACTAGCAAACAAGCTGTCACTTTACAATGAACAGTCTGCTTTGAGAAGAGCCTGCAGTGGATCGGTCTGTGCTACACGTGAATCCTCTTCAAATCATCCAAGACAATGATGCTTATATAGTGTCTTTTGCTTCTTTTTAAAGGCTGGCAGGCTGAGAATTGGGGTGTAGCTCAGTGGTAGAGAAAGTCCTCAGCATGCACAAGACCCTAGGCTGATCCGAAGCACCATCAAAAAAAAAAAAAAAAAAAAAAAAAAAGACAATCTACAAATTGTATTTGGATTTTTGTCTGACATTTAATTTAACCAGGATATCCCAACCATATTAATTTTTTATTATGTATCTTGTAGCTATGTAGTCAGCTGCAAACTCATTTTGGATTTTTATTCTTCCCTGTTGACCCTTTTCTCATCATGAATGCCCCTTTCTATCTCTACTAATAGTTCTTGCCTTAAAGTCTACTGCTACACAGTCTTTCTTTTGCTTAGCATTTATTTGCACAGTGTATCTTTTTCTGTCCTTTAAAATCCAGTCTTACCTGTCATTTAATTAAAATGTTTAGTGTACTTACAAGTTATGTAATTATGGACATAGGTAGTTTTAATTTTACCATTCTGTTATTTATTTACTTTTTTTCCCATCTATTTTTTCCTCTCTGGCTTTATATTTTGAGCAAGCAAACAGTTTTCATATTTCCTTTTTACCCTCCTCTTCTAGCTTTTGTTTGGAGCTAGGAATTGAACCCAAGGCCTGGTGCATGCTAAATAGTACTCCATTAAACCCTAGTCCTTGTCCTAGCTTTTTCCTTTACCTTTTCTTATTATATTAGTGGTCACTGTCAAGATAACATTTCTTTGGTTTATTATTCTTCATTCTAAATAAATACTCTGATGCTTTCCAAACAATGAAAGAAACTTCGAGTCACCTGTTATTCCTTTACCTCTGCCCCGCCCCCTGTCCTCTGTGTGGTCATAGAATGTATTTTTTCATGCATTATAAAATCAGAAAGATACTTTTATTGTTGGTGTTTTAGATCAGCAGTTTTCAAGTACTTTGAAGCCACCATTTCATTCTTTCCTAGTGTCCATATCCTGACAGAGTTAGCTACTATGTAGATAATATACCACACATCTCTATGACTGTTTGGCTTTGATTTTAAAATTTGATCATGATATAATTATTTGAAGTTCACTGAGTTTATTTTAATTTATCCTGCTTAAGAATGACTAAGTTTATTAAATTTGTGGGTTGTGTCACCCCCCTGCACTATCAGATTTATAAAGTTTTTGGCTATTATTTTTTCAAAAATTGTTCTTCCACTTTTTCTCTCATCTCCTTCTGGGACTCCAATTACATATAAATTAGACCTGAAATTTCACTATGCCCCACTTTATTTCATTCACTTTGTTCTATTTTTTCCAAGCAGTTTATCTATGCATTACTTTGGATATTTTATATTAATGTACCTTCAAATCTACTAATCTTGTCTTCTATGTCCATCTAATGTGTTTTTAATTTCATAGAAACAGTACTGAAATTTCCATTTGAATCTATATGAATTCCAAATGAAACTACTTAACATGCTGTATTTTTTCCTCCAACCATATTGCATGTAGAGAAAGCAGAGCTAGATTTTATCTAGTGTTATGATTTTACCAACAATACTGAGAAAAGGCAAAGGAAAAAAAATTGTAAATGTAAGGCAGAGATTATAATGCTTGACCATGAAATTTAATGGGGTATAAGGGATAGCTACCGGTGGTAGACTCAATGGATTGAATATCCTGGTAATATGAAGAAATTTCTATGGTTGAAGTAGAGACAGCTGGCAAGATGTAAGTTGACAGTAGACATATTAAACTGCAATTGAGAGGTGAGCAGTTACTGGGTATGTTAAACCTTTAAGGTATGAATAGTGAGAAGATTACAGAGGAGGAGGAGGAGGAGGAGGAGGAGGAGGAGGAGGAGGAGGAGGACGACGACGACGACGACGAGGAGGAGGAGGAGGAGGAGGAGACAAGCTGCAAGAGACTAGGGTAACTGACATATGTATTAAGATGGCCATGAATTAAAGTATGAATGGAGTTTTAATAGAAAGACTGATGGGGAGTCAGTATTAAGTGAGGAGAACTTGAATGGTATCAGCAAATAATAGCAAAACGGGAAAAGTGGGAGATAAAATTTGATGGCATTAGCTCTAAAGTTGAAGATATTAGAAAGGAAGGATATATACGTAAAACCCATAGGAGTAGCATAGCTATTTTTCCTGAAGATTGGATTTTATATACTTTCACTCTCAACTATTAGAATATTTCAGTAGAAAAGTTTAAGAGGCAACAGAATAAACAAATATTCAATTGTCACTGAATTTCAAATAAGCTAAAATTTCCTCTTACCCCCCAAAGCTTATTTTTAAGAGACAGCCATTTTAATTTTTTCTCCTTTAGTAATGACAGATACATTTATTGTCAAAAAAGTCTATTGAAGAAAATAGGGCAAATATATACAAAAATACATCAATCACACTAATAGAAAAGAACAATTACCTGGGATACAGCAGGATATTTGTGATATGCTTCTGATCTGAGATAATGGTATGGATAAAAGGCACTTGTGGAAAACATTCTAAGGAGAAAGCTAAGATGGACCTCAGGCACACCTCCCCTGCCCTATCTCAGGATTGTGACTCTTATGGTTGCTGTCCATCCAATGCCAAAATAAACAGATGGGGACTTGGAAAAGGAGAAATAAAGATCCTCCCTTTATGTTTCAGCTCCTAACATACTCCTATTAAAGTTGTGATGGGCTGGGTGTGGTGGTGCATGCCTATAATCCAGGAGGCTGAGGCACTAAGCAACTTAGCAAGATCCTATCTCAAAAAATAAAAAGGGCTGGGGATGTGGTTCAGTGGTTAAGCATTTCCAGGTTCAATCTCGAGTTTAAAAAAAAAGTCACTGATGGGATAACCAAGAGCAAATGAGATGCAAACTTACCTGGATATGGCACTCTCCCCTTTGTTACCAATTCTGTCTGTAGAATTCCAAATGACCACACGTCAGACTTTATTGTAAATCGACCATACAGTGCAGCTTCAGGAGCTGTCCATTTGATTGGAAATTTTGCACCTAAAAACATATTGGCAATCTTGTTTAACTGTTTATTAAAAGTCTATCTTTGTGTCTTTGTGGGCTGGGGATACAGCTCAGTTAGCAGAGTGCTTGCCTTGCATGCACAAAGCCATGAGTTCAATCCCTAGCACAAAAACAAACAAACAAATAAATAAATAATTTTTTAAAAATCTACTTTTGTAACTATAGTAAAAGCAGTGCTAATCCTTTGTCAATATCCTTACTATATACATCATCAGTGTCAAATTCTAACAATAGAAGAGACATGAGGAAAACTCTTTAATTTTTGAAATTTATATTAAAATGAATCACATTTCTTCCTTATAGTACTGATTAAAAAAAGGAAGTTGGTGGAAGGAATAGAACATCATTCAAGAAAATACAGGTAGAGGCTCTAGTAAGTAAAAAATATGGATTATAAAATCTGTAACTTTTAAGTTCAGTCTGGCACCCAGCAGTTCTTCTAATTATGTGCTGATAAAGGAATATTTTATTAGATTCTAATGGCTACTGATTTTCAACCATAGTTTCTTTTCAATTTTATAATATATTTCTGGAAAATTTTATTGTGCCATCACTTTTAAAAGCTCACATTAATTGACTCCAATATTTAGTGCATACTTTTATGCACAGGCATTATACTAATCATTATGGGTACATAAAAACATGAATTTATACACTTATAATGTTAAGTTTATGGGTATCTTGAAGTTACTTATACATGTATGCATAGCAATATAAAATAAGTTCTTTAGATTGTTTGGCAAACAGAAGATCAGTTTTCACTAGTACAATCACAAAGGTCTTATTAAAAGATGCTATTGGGGGTCCTGTACAGTACAAGATGTTTAGAGGCCTGGCCTCTACTCACTAGATGCCAACAGCCGCCTCCACACTGTAATAGCCAAAAATGTCTACAGACATTGTTGGATGCCTCTTGGGGCTGGAGAGTGACTGTCCCTTGATTGAGAACCTCTAAGCTAAGGTAAGAGTTCCAAAATTCATGAAGTTTGTTAAAGAAAAGAAAGAAATTTAAAAAAAAAAATATTTGTTGATATGCTAAAAATAAATGTAAAGAAGCTATTATTAATTATACTTGAAATGCAAAGAACACCTAGCCAAATCCTTGTAGGAAATAACTATCAAAAAATCACAGTAGTATTCCTTATATATAATTTTATGAATAAAATCAATGTTTTTGTGACTCTTCTGAGAGAACCTATAATTATTCTTACTCTATAAAACTGCATATTGAAAAGAGTTTTAAGTGAGAAAAAAAACAAAGGACAATAGATTACAAGCATTTAAATAAAAGTACTCTTACCTTGTCTTGCCGTGTATTCATTGTCTTCAATTAATCTTGCTAAACCAAAATCTGCTATTTTGCACACAAGATTTTCTCCTACAAGAATATTAGCAGCTCGAAGATCTCGGTGAATATAGTTCATTCTTTCAATATATGCCATACCATCAGCAATCTTGGAAAGGAAAAAACAGATACATACAAAACATGATGCAGAAGGAACCAGGGAGAAGATAATTTTGGTTAATGTTTCATAAATCACTGGAAAAATCATATATCTCAAAAGGAGATGATAGTAACAGGCATATTACTTAGGAGCTAGTAGGTAAAATAGAAAACACTATAATAAAAAAGCAGGCTAAATCCAGCTTTTAAAAATTGGACACATCCCCAGCACAACCACCAAACAACCCACCAAAAATCTAACACCTTTTTTGAGGGCACCACTCAGTGTATCCAGTAACCATTAGCAGCTCAATGTCCTAATGTCTTTCTGTGTCAGTGGTTGGGAGACAAGATAAGTCACAGGGTTATTTAGAACTTCTGGATAAAAGTCTATCAAAGTTCACATCAGGCACAGCCTAAGATGTCCTGTAAGCACAGGTGGAAAACAGTAAACTTGAGCTTGCAGCCTAACGGTGCCCTGCAATCTGTTTTTATATTGCCCGAGAACTAAAAATGGTTTTTCTATTTTTAAAGAGTTGTAAGGAGGAGGAGGATGGGGTCTGACAGAGATTGTATATGGCTCCTAAAACCTAAAACATGTACCTGACTTTAAAAAAAAAAAAAGGTTCAGATACCCTAACACAGAGTATCTAGAAGTTTTGACCTCATGGCCTGGCATATGCCAGTGTTATATGTGTAGTTCCTCTGTATAAAGTTCCTCTAAACTACCAGATTCTGTGGCCATGTGGAAGCTCACTGAGAAGTAAAAGCTGCATTACCAGTTATGTCAACTGAGTTCAATAAAAGGCCCTTCGAACACCTATAACATATCTGAATAGAAACATTACACTTTAAAACAAAAAATTCAGAAGAGTTAAAAAAGATTTTTTTTTTTTTTTTTTTTTGGTACCAGGGACTGAATCCAGGAGTGCATATTAACCATTGAGCTACAATCCCTAGACCCTTTTATTTTGAGATTGGGTCTCCCTAAGCTTTTGAGGTTGGCTTTAAACTTGTGATCTTCCTGCCTCGGCCTCCTGATTCAATGGGATTATAGTGTGTACTACTCTGTCTAGCCTAAAGAGACTCATTCTTTTTTTTTTTTAATATATATTTTTTTTTGGTAAGGAGCATGATATTTAGATGTATTTTACTTTTTTTTTTTTTTTAAGTTGTAGATGGACACAGTACCTTTATTTATTTATTTTTATGTGGTGCTGAGGATTGAACCCAGGGCCTTGCACGTGCTAGGCGAGCGCTCTACCACTGAGCCATAACCCCAGCTCAAAAGACTCATTCTTAACAGCATATTGCCATTTTAATTCTTGTTTAGGACCATAGTAAATAAAAAGTTCGGCATACACTTTAGATTTCTAATATATTCTTTGGAAGAGCACTCATCCATTTTAATTTTCTTGCTTTTTTTTTTTTGTACTGGAGATTTAACCCAGGGCAATTTACCACTGAGCTACATTCCCTGAATCCTTTTAATTTTTTCATTTCGAGACAGGGTCTCACTAAGTTGCTGAGAGGTTCACTAAATTGCTAAGGCTGGCCTGGATCTTGTAATCTTCCTGCCTCAGCCTTGGGAGTTATTGGGATTACAGTAACCAGCCATTTTAATTTTCTCAGATTTATCTGTTGAAATATATATAGATTTTGTATCTGTGAAAACACTTTCTAAAAGGTCATAATATATGGGATAGCACTGAACTGGGAGTTCCATAGCTAGTTTTAATATGTTCTGCTATGAACAAGTTTTGTAAATTTTAAATCCCTCTGGTCTTTAGATACTATATTATTTGTAATACTAGGAGCTCACGCTGGATTATCTCCAATGTTCCTTTCTGTTCTAAAATTCCTTTACTTTTCTACATAAACCGTATTACTTAGGTAAGATTATTCCACATTTTAAAGGTTAACTTTCAATTCAAGTTGATATATCTATATGCAAATACCTGAGCAGCCATATCGACCAGCTGTGGAAGCTTCAAATATTTTCCATCTCCTTCCTTAAGGAAATCTAATAAACTTCCTGTAAGAGACAGTGAAATATCCATGGAAAATAAGTAGATTTTACATTAAGATTGACATAAATATTCCTCTACCCCCAAATAACCAAACTCTAACAAAATTTCTCAACTTTTTATTTTAAAAAGTTTCTTTTGTAGTTTTGAAATTTCTGAATAATTACCTCAAAGATTCTAGAAAAGACCCCTAAACTGAAATTTATTATCTCTTTATAACACATGAAAAAAAGGAAAAATGTACCATTTTCCCTTTCCCTACAGAAAATGTCATCAAATTGGTGTCATTCTTTCCTGCTTTGATCAAGATTCTAAGTTTTATACCCCAAAATATATTTTTTAAAAAATATTTTTTTCAGTTGTTGATGGACTTTATTTTATTTATTTTTATGTGGTTCTGAGGATCAAACCCAAAGCCTCACATGTACCAGGCGAACACTCTATCACTGAGCCACAGCCACAGCCCTCAAAAATATAACATTTTAAGTCAATATGATTCAAGAATTCAGATATGGTTATAACTAAATAAAGGCAGCTAAATGAGCTGTGGAAGTGCTGGCTTGACCAATGTCTCTTAATTTTAGAAGCAAAATACTATGAATACAGCAAAGTGAAAAGCCAGGAAGAAATGTCTATTTGTTGCCTCTCTCTATCACTAGTTAAAAACATACACATGCTTCAATTAGTAAAGAGAAACCATCAGACAAATCCAAACTAAGATTTATTTTTAAAACATAAAATTAGATTGTTTTCTTAAATAACAATGCTGTGAAACAGAAAGTCAGAGGAATGGCTCCAAGCTCAAGGAGACAAAGAGAAATTACAACTGAATGTAACAAATGGCCATGGATTGGCTACCTATTGGTAAGTGCAGTTAGTGAAATGGTCAGGAGATAGGAAAAAGAAATTCCAAGTAAATTAGGCTGGGGGTGTAGCACAGTGGTAAAGCATATGCTAGAATGTGTGAGGTGCTTGGTGGGATTTACAGCATGAAATAAAAAATGGAAACAAGGAATGAAAAAAATCTATCTGTCCAAAACAGTGGGTTTACGCTGGAGCACATAAGGCAATGAGTCTGGATGTATTATAGGGGCCAACTGCTAAGCTAAAAACCAAAATGGGGAATTTCTGAGTTTTAAAACTAGAAAGGACTTTTGTTCTCTTGTATTCTTAACTTCTTACCTAGAAATAATCCTAAACTAGTGATCTGACAACACAGAATTCTACCATGTTCTCAAAATTAAATAATTTGTAAAGTAATACAGAGATAAATGAACCATTAGCTTTACTTCCATTATATTTCTTTTGTTAGCAATGTCTTGATTTAAATTTCCTCCTTGTCCCTTTCTCCTTTGTCTTCTAGTTCAACCAGAGTACTCTTTGAAAAGGTATACTTGGAAGCTGTTTGAAGTAGAAACTCTTCCCAAAGAGAGCCATGAATTATTGGGTTTAGGTATGTTTTGGCTATCAATTAACAGGCTATGTCAGTTTGTTTCAGTCCCTTTTGAGAAAAAAAAAAAAAAATTTCCTACAGCAAATATGTATCTTGTTGTTGCCCTTGTTACCACTAGAGGGAACTTTATCATTGGTCAAGGTAGACTATGGAAAGGGTAACATAACCAGTGCAGTTATTTAGTTTGATTTAAGAGAGTAAAAAAATAAAATAACTTAAAAAATACATCAAGGGCTGGGGTTATGGCTTAGTGGTAGAGTGCTTGCTAGCACGTGTGAGGTACTGGGTTCGATCCTCAGCACCACATGAAAATACATAAATAAAATAAAAATATTGTGTCCATCTACAACTTAAAAGAAAAAAAAAAAGATCAAATTCAAAATGGGTAAAAATTGAGCCAGTAAGCATACTTGCAGATTTACTGGTCCTTCTTCTAAAGCATCAGTAGCCTAGGGATGAAGAGGAAAGAACATCAACTTTCTTTTCTCTTTTTCTTGGCCATAACTAGCTCTGTTACAGAAGATCTCACCTTGTGGTCTGTGTTTGAAAGATGGAGAAACTGCAGTTGACAGTAGTGGAGAAAAGAAGTTTCTAGGAGTCCTGAGTATACAGACTGTGTTTACATTAAAACAAATTTCCTTTAATTTAACCTTTTTTCTTTGCTTCAGTACTACCTGAATATCATTCTGATTTTATCATTTTAACTCAGTTTGTATATTTTGTTTTTTCCTTTAGTCAAATCTACTTTCATTTATTTTTATGTGGTGCTGAGTGTCCACCTACAACTAAAAAACATATTAAAAAAAAAAAAAACCTACTTTCAAAATAAATTCAAACTGCCTAATCATCCTTTAAAACTTTGTAAATCCTCCGGAATAACTGGAACTAACCACTATTTCATTAACGAAGTGTCACATTTTTTTGGGCATGGTGGCACATGCCTGTAATCCTAGCAACTTGGGAGGCTGAGACAGGAGGATGGCAAGTTCAAGGCCAGCCTGGACAACTTAGTGAAACCCTGTCTCAATTAAAAAAAAAAAAGAGAGAGAGAGAGAGAAAGAAAGAAAATAAAAAGAAAAAAAAGGGGGGGGGGACTGGTAATATAACTCTAGTGGTAGAGCATTCCCGAGTTCAATCCCCAGACTAGCAAACAACAACAACAAAACCAAAATGTCCCATTTCTCTTTTCAAATGCTTCCAAAAATAATCATAAATTAGAAAGTACTATGCAATAAGACTCCATTTGTATAAAAACTGAAATGAATGATTCTTTTGTAAAGAAGTTACCAACATGAATATTCCAAGAGATACTAATATACACTTACCTTTTGACATAAATTCAGTGACAATGTAAATTGGTTCTTCAGAAACAACAGCATAGAGTGGAACAAGTTTATCGTGTCTTAATTTTTTCATTATCTGAGCTTCTTGAAGAAAAGCTTCTGGCATCATTGTACCTGGTTTTAGTGTTTTGATTGCTACTTTTGTGGTTCCATTCCATGTTCCTAGAGAAACAATACCTCTTACTATTTTAATCAATATTTTAAGGGATTTTAGAACAAATTTCAATGAATAGCAATTATATTACATATTTAATATTATATATATATTTTTGTAATAAAATTGTGGCACTTTAATCTGTGGCTAAAAATTGACAAAAACCAAAAATTCAGGCTTCTTACCCATCCACACTTCACCAAAACATCCTTGTCCTAGTTTAACCTCTAGTCGCAAAGATTCTCGAGGGATTTCCCAAGCATCCTTTGCTAGACCTTGAGTCTGGGGTTTCACAGTTGGACACACGGTTGTTAACTTGTGGCATAAACCATCAGCATGTTCTAGATAAACGAATAAAACTACAATGTAAAATGAATTATGTATAAAAATTAAGCTACAGAGTATATAAATGCTTAAAAAGGGCTCATAAATTATAGAAAAACTATCAGTTTTTCTCTAAAAACAAAAAGGAAGTTGTCTACAAGAAGCAAAAAAAAAAAAAAAAACCCACATATAAGAAGTGAAACATTTTGTTAAATATATTTTTATGTTATTGTTTACTGAATACTTATGCTCTAGCTATTGTGTTAATTTGGCTCTTTATAAATCGCTCATAAAAATGAGGCTTGGGAAATTTAGGAAACTTTCTCAAGGTCCCACAGTTAGTAAGTGATGGGATTCAAAGCCAGGTCTGTCTACCTCCAAATTTCTGATTTAATAAATGGATTTATTTGATCCCTAAGAGAATGCTTTTATTAATTGTTATTTCTTTTTGTTTTGTTTTTTCCTGGAGATTGAACCCAGCACTTTACCACTGAGTCACATCCCTAGCCCTTTTATATTCTGAAACAAGATCTTGCTAAATTGCTTAAGGCCATAATAAATTGCTGAGGGTGGCTTTAAACCGGCAATCCTCCTGCCTTAGCCTCCCATGCCATGGGGATTACAGCTATGCACACCACTGTTCCCAGCAGGAAAAAATTCACTTAGTGAACTGAATTTTGAATAAGAGAGCCACAAATGTAAGGAACTCCAGATTTATAATGGCTTGATCTGTGCATCTTTCTCATACAGTCTTTCTTATTGTAAATGAGACACGTTTCCTCCCATTCTCATCAAGAATGGTTACCAACCACACAAATTTTCTATTCTAGCAAGGGCAATTATGTGTTGGCACTGCTTGGTAACATATTTGATTGCTGTCAAGACTGCTGATTGACTTGGTAGACTCAGTTTATAGCTACCTGTCATTGAAGAAGATATTACCATGGAAACTTTCCCTCCTCCAGTACTAATCATTTAAAGACTTAGATGCATTTACATAATGAATTGATAATGAAAAATTCTGAGACATAAGACTCCACAATTGAATATTTCCAAAATCTTTGAAAGACAAGAATGTCTATAATTGCCACAGGTTAATCTTCTAAGAAAAATATACCTTCAGACCATATTTTATTGGTTTATATTCTAGGAAATCTTAGGAGATCAGCCGCTGAAGGGGAAGGTAATCCAAGAGGATATGTGATACAGCTTTTTGTGTCAAGTGTTTAGCTTTAGCTACTTACCTGTGTTTATAAATAAAATATTTGCTTTTATGTTTTTCATTTATTTTCATAATATATTCTGGGGGAGGGGGTACTGGGCATTGAACTCAGGGACACTCAACCACTGAGACACACCCTATTTTGTATTTTATTTAGAGATAGGGTCTCACTGAGTTGTTTAATGCCTCGCTGTTGGCTGAGGCTGGCTTTGAACCACTATCCTCCTGGTCTCAGTCTCTGGAGCTGCTGGGATTTAAGGCATGTGCCACTGCACCCAGCCTCAAAATGTATTTGTATATTATGAAATGGAACTCCACTGTAAAAACTATGCTTGTAAGATATAAAAATTTCAACGACAGTCTGATTTTAGCACACTATCCAATAACCCAATTCAGATACTAAGAATTACCTGTTCTCATTTTAAATCTAGAATACTAACATACACTGGGCACATACTGTGTATAAAGTAGTAGTATGCTAACCCTTAAGAGAGATGAGGACATGAATTTCGTTCTCATACAATAGAGCATGAGGAAATAATTTTTACCTGTGTAGTGTTTCACCAATTTCTGCAAAGTGTCAAATTGTGCTCTGGTTGTTATATAGTAGCCACCATTGTCAAGTTTCCTAATTTTGTAGTGTTTCACATTGTCACCCCTTACTTCATCCCAATCACGAATAGAGAGGGAATAAGCACCTGGGAGGAAGAAAATAAATGCTTATTATATCTTCTTAAAATACTGGACAAAAAAATTTTATATTAATATAATAGTAATCATACCTTTAGTGGTTTCACTTTCTCTTACTAAGAATATACCTCGTTGATTGCCAGGATTCAAAAGTAATCTTTCAGCATCTTTTCTCCCCATTTTGCCAAAATACCATCTAGAAAAAAATTAATGATGTTTTGAGTTGGGAAGGTTTGAAGGTCAGAAAAATTATATTCACAAATAAATAAGAGTGAAATTGGATAGGAGAGATGACAAAGAATAGATACAGAACATGCTTAGGATATATATACTAAAACATAAATTTTTATTTATTAAAGAAGAATTTACATATATCACTATTAAAATATCTGATAGTATTTCCATGTACTGACTACTCAACATGTCACTGGAACTCTACCTGGCAGTCATGGAAACAGCAAATGGAGAAAGACAGCAAATAACAGATCTTTTCTGTCAGTGACACATACAGGTAGGAAGAACAGAAGTTGTTCTCTGATAACATGTGATCACCTGTATTGATAAGATCTAAGTATATAATACTCAAATTATGAGGAACTCTAATTTCATATGAGTTTGATTTAATAAAGTTTAATGAATAAAAATGACAATCTTTGCTATGAAAAGACTCACAGAACAGTGAAGAAGGCAAAAGAACAAAAGTAACAAATGTTATAGTAAAAACAGTTATTGAGGCAAATGTTAATAAAACAAACAAGTATTGATAACCCCTAGCTATATGCAAGACACTGTGTTAACTGTTGTAATATGAAAAAGAGGTCATTATTTATGGATCCCAGAAAAACTAGTTGGACCAAAAAAGTAATATGTCATTGAAACTGACTTCTAACATTTTAGAAGTTGTAAGAATAGTACACAGAACTCCCAAGTTCCCCAGCTGTTAATATTTTACTTTGTTATATTCTTTATTTCCCACCTTCCTTTATATGTTGGGTGCATGTGTTTACATCTTTTTTCCCCTTTGAATTGACTGAATGTTGCCAAAATGCTGAATCATTACCCTAATACTTCAGTGTATGCTTTGTAGAAGACAAGGATACTGTCCTACATAACCACAATGCAAATACCTAAATCAAGAAGTTAAACACTTAATCTCCTCTCTGAGGTAAATTTTGAAGAAAGTCTGCAGAATATGAAAAGGGCTAGATAATTTTTAAAACTAAGTGGAAAACTAAAGGAAAAAGACAAGGCATAAAAGTATGATTAATTAAGATTTACTCAGGATACCAATCTAAGCAGATACTACAGCTTAATTATGAATTCTCAAGTAACATCTATTAATGATACATTAGCTGTATTAAGACTGGTATGTAATTGCATGTGTGTAAAATTGTGGCTAAGTAGAATGTGCATTAAAACATTTTAAAAATCAAAATAATTAATAAAATATGAAGTACTGCCATACTCTTCTGCCTGAATGGAATCTGCAGGCGCTACATAATTGCTAGGGATGTAACCATTCTTTCCTGTAGCAATTGATCTTGCTTCCCACCAGTCTCCTTCCCTGAAACACATAAAACAACAATTACCACAACGTATAATATATTGCACTTTCTTATTTCAAGTAAATGAGAGATATAACTTCCATTTTTCTACTTATGCATTCACTTGATCAAGAATTAAACTCAACATTGTAAAAGAACAACATTTTAAAAATAAGTTAAATGAATTAAGGAAATTAAGACTAAGCAAAAGTATAATTACATACTTCTACAATAAATCAACAACAAAAGCCCCAAACACCATACACTAAAAATTCAATTATTGTATCTTTTTTTCCTCTTCATAATTCTTTCAACCTAAGACAATAAACTATACTGAACTAAGTAGTTTTGAATAAACTTTCAAATTATTCATCTTTGGCTGAATTTCTTAAGAGCTTGAGATAATTTGCTTATTACCATAATACTCCCCAATTTAAGGTACAAACTTAGTGGTTTTTAATATATTCATAGAGCTGTATAGCCATTACATAATAAATTTTAGAATATTTTTTACCACCACAAAAAGAACCCCAATACTCATGAGTAATCACCTCCAACCCCTCCCACTATTGGCAACCACTTAACTGCTGTCCATCTCTATGGATATGAATATTCTGGGCATTTCATATAAATGGAATGATTTATGTGGTCTTTTATGACTGGCTTTTTTCACTCAGCATATATCTTTTTCAAGGTTAATCTATGTTTTAGCACATATCAATAGTTCTTTTTTGTTGCTGAATGCTTTTCTTTTTAACAGTACATAAAATTGTAATGTTCTTGTTTTACTCATTTTAGAAAAAAAATTATGAGGCATGAGCACTCCTTGTAGAAAAGCAATTAATAATAAACAGTAATAAAAAGCTCAATTTCTAGAAAAATGTTATCTAAAAATAATTCAATATACTCAAATTAAGTCAAAATTCAGAATATGAGAACTATATGGTTTGTGGTATATAAACCTTGACTGTTACAAAAGTAATATGAAAAGAACAAATATTAGTCTCTAATAAGGATGATGTACATGGCATTCACTACTTAAAATTAAATGTAGGGATAGGGTTGTGGCTCAGTGGCAGAGCGCTTGCCTAGCATGTGTGAAGCACCATTGACCCCCCCCCAAAAAAAATTTTTTTTAAAAAGATTAAATGTATTTTTTAGATCAAAATTTTAAAAATATTCATTGATTTTGCTCTCAAAAACTGAAATGGAAAGCCCTTTGGTAATTCAAACATTTACAAACTCATACATTTGGTTTTTGGTTTTCTAGTACGTTAATTATTTTGAAACATACAAACAGAATTGTATTTGATCCTGATAAGCAATCACGATTCATATGAACTGAATACCTACTGAGTGATAGATGTCACTCAGGATGTGTGGAAAAAAGGTAAAAAGACAGTCCTTAAATTTAAATAACTCAGTCTAGAGTGGGGTTTTGCAGCCTCAATAATACTGACATTTTGGATTTGATAAATCTTTGCTGCATGCATAGTAGGATGTTTACCAATATCACTGGCCTCTACTTTGTAGATGACAGTAGCAACACCCTGATGACAACCAAAAATATTTCCAGCCATTGACAAATATCTCCCAGGTAATTTTGCCCCAGGTTGAGAACTACTGACCAAAAAGAATGACAAGCTAAGTGACAAATTAAAAGTTCCCTGGGAGCTGGGACTGAAGTCTGCATAGGGTGCTATGTGAATACCTAACAGAAACAATATAGCAGGGCATGGGTTGTAGAGCATAAATGTTAGAACACTTGCCTAATATACACGAGGCCCTGGGTTCAATCTCCAGCACAAAGGAGGGGACAGAAGAAGGGAGAGAAGGAGGAGAATGGAGAAACAGTCACTCCAGAAAAAAGTAGTATGTGTGAAGGCATGGAAAGGGCAAAAAACTCTAGTGTACTCAGAAAACTCCACCTACTACAGTATGGCTGATTGGTAGAGTTAAAAAGGATTTGAAGAAACACATAATAAAACCTCAGGGAACGATGGCTACTTTTTTTTTTTTTTTTTTTTTTTTTTTGGTGACTACAGGTAGCTACTTAAGGATTTTAAAGCAAGACAGTCATGATCATATTTTACATTCTGGAACAATAACTGGTAACAGATGGAAACAAGGATAGAGGAAACATGACTGGAAGCAAAGGGACCATAAGTATATATTTCAAGAAGTTACAAGTGATTGTTACGCTTGCTAATGAAATTATGGGATTGGTTTTCCAAAACAAGTATCAAATTTTCTATGTGGATCACTAAATGACAGAAAGACTTGAGTGTTACATAAGGAAAAAGCAACTTAATTTGGTCCATTTGGGAGTACAAAAGTTCCTTATTCAACTTTTTGACTTTGTTTTTTAGAAAAAAGAAAAGATCTTAAATCATCTGGATACTTAAATAGGAACAAAGAATTTTTTTTATAAAAGATTTTTTATAAGTAATATACTTGCATATGCCCCCTCAGTAACTCTTCATTCTTTTTTTTTTTTTTTTTTTTTTTAATTTTTTATTGTTGGCTGTTCAAAACATTACATAGTTCTTGATATATCATATTTCACAATTTGATTCAAGTGGGTTATGAGCCCCATTTTTACCCCATATACAGATTGCAGAATCACATCAGTTACACATCCATTGATTTACATATTGCCATACTAGTGTCTGTTGTATTCTGCTGCCTTTCCTATCCTCTACTATCACCCCTCCCCTTCTTTTTTTTAAATTTAAAAAAAAATTTTTTTTATTAGCTACAACTCTTCATTCTTAAATCTCTACTCTTTAAGGCTGAACCACAGCAGCACAATTTGTAGAAGTAGTAACTTCTATAGGCAGTATTATGTCATGTGTCTCAAGGAACTAAATCTATCCAGCACAGAAGTCAGAGACCCATACCCTGTCATGATTATCTCCAGATCATAAACTAGCTTATAAGTTTCAATGTAAAGAACAAGTGTCTGTATTTCTCCCTCTCAGAATACTCACAACACTTACGTATTGTTAATTATTTGAAATCTTTCACCCTTCTTAAATGAAAGATCTTCTGTAGTTCTAGCTTCGTAATCATATAAGGCCACAAATATAGTAACACCACCTAGCAAAGGAAAAAAAGACCAAGGTAAATTATATAGATAAACTGAAGAAAAAAAAAGAGAAATAAAAAACTATTGCCAGCAAAAATCTTATATATAATATTTTCTCTCTAGTTTTAGAATCTATTTTTAGACAATTGGGGCTTCTAAAAGTTGGGGCTCTGAGCAGCTGGAGTTTAAATAATGAGATGTTCTCTTAAGACCTTCCACAAAATCACTGCAGTTTACATATTCTAAAATTCTATAGACTCAGAAACAAAACTTTGAACCAATGCCTCTGGCTTGAAAAGACAGTCAAATTTCGAACCAATTCTTTGGAAGGAAGAACACTACTGGAGCACTATAGACTACTGACATTAATCTTCTCAACTTCTTATAAACAACAGGTGAACATTTTCATCTATAATCATTAATACTAAACATTAGGGCTTTAGTAACATTAACTTACTATATACTTACCTTAAAAATAAAACTGTTGGGTTTGTCGTGGAAATTTAATGGCATGGCCGATATGAATTATAAAGTATAAATTCCAAAAATAACTCATATTTAGCAACATGTGCAGATGCTTAAGAGAGGAGCGCACTGAACAGCCAAACTATTATATGTAAGCAAAACAAATAACAATAGAACAAATGTATACAATATGCATGACTTGTCAGTGCTTAAAATTATTTCAGACAGGTATTCTGGCTAAACTTCCCATAATATATAATTCGTTTTATTGTATATATTTATCACATATGACACAATGTTTTGAAACATATATACATTGTGAAATGGTTAAATCAAGTTAATTCACATATGCATTGCTTCACATATTTCTTCTTATTATTTTTTTTTGTGGTGAGAAAACTTAAAATTTCTCAGCAAATTTGAAGACTACAATACATTGTTATTAGCTATGGTCACTAGGTTGTACTATAGACTTGAACTTATTCTTTTTTAATTTTTTTTTTTTTTTCAGTGCTAGAGATCAAACCCAGGGCATCGCACAAGCAAAGCAAGTGCTCTATCACTGAGCTCTGTTCCAACATATTCTTAATTTCAATATGTACATATTTTACTCAATGTAATTCCGCTGACTTGGCAAATATCAATGGTTAGTTTACATCCATCCATCAATATTTTTTTTTTTTAATGGTAGGAAGAAAGGCAGTTAGTAAAATTACAGACTAAGCAAAAATATGAAATGTAGAAAGCAGTATAAAACCTACTGTCTCTAAATACAAAATGTAGAAAGCAGTATAAAATCTACTGTCTCTAAATACAAAATAATAGCAAACCAAAGTTCATTCATCTGGCTTCTATCCCAAGTTTTAGTCATGTATCAACTGCTTTTTGACATCACTACTGAATTTGTAATAACCAATTAAAACATGTATAAAATGAAGCTCTTGATTTTTCTTCTCTAACCTGTATTTACCCAAATCCTCTCTATCTAAGCAAATAGCACTAGAATCAAGTCAGGTAATAACTTGAGCCAATTCTACTACTAAGACTACCAGTTCTACATCTATAATATTTTATTTATCTATTTTCCATTTCCACTGCTGCCCCCTAAATCCCAATCCATGTCATTCCTTACTGGGACTTCTGGGGTTATGAGTACTGGCTACTTAATCTACTTCTCCACAGAGCAGCAAGAATGAGTTTTTTAAAAAGGGAATTCGATCATGCAAAATCCTTTACATACAATCTCTCGAGGAGCTTCTTCCCAGCTTCAGAAAAAATCCAAACTCCTTACTAAAGTCTATGTAGTACTAAGTAATAGTGGTATCCTAACACCAATATCACATCATACAACTCTCCTCTCTGCCTACATTGTTATTCCCACCAGTTCTTAAAAACTTTCCAGTCCATTTGTTTCTCTTGAACTTTGTGTTTGTTATTCCCTCTTCCTAGAAATTCTGCTCTTTCCTCAGGTCTGCAGATAGTTCATTCTCATCAATCAAATATCAGTTAAAATGATTTCTTCTCAAGGAGGCTTTCCCTGATCAACTACAGGATCTTTACCAATTATTCTTGCTAGTTCCTTCATAGAAGTAAGAAATACTGATCTCAACTTGTTTAGCTGTTTGTTCACTAATTATTGTTCAATCAACATTATTAGGTAAACTCTACCAGAAGAGAAGCCTTGTTTGTCTTGCCCATCTCTCTATACCTATATGCAAAGACACTCTGTTTTTTACAGAGTTAATAAGTGAACATCTTTGAATGGGGTATTTCACATGAATAAATACTTTTTCTTTTTCTCCAGTACTGGCGATTGCACCCAGATTGTAGTTCTACCAATAAGCTACATCCCCAGCCATAGCCCTTTTTATTTTGAAAAAAGGTCTCTGTAAATTGCCATAGTTGGCCTCAAACTTGTGATCTTCCTGCCTCAGCCTACACAGTTGTTTGGATTACAGGTGTGCACCACCATGCCCACTATGCACATCAATAAAAATTTAAAGTAACTAAAGTATGTCTTTTAAGTATCAAAATTTATTTTAATCATTTTGAATTAGTAACTTTCAAAAACATATAATCCTGAAAATAATTTAAACTTTTTACTAATGACAGAGAAATATCATCATGGCCATAGATTATTGAAATATTTGCAGTCAGAAGGCTGGAATTAGGGCTGTGATTGTGGTGATGTCCATTATTCTCCAAATGTTGTCTAACAGAATCAGTGTATGGCAGTCCTCACTATTATTGGTTCAGAGGTGAACAAACTGAGGAGACAAATTTATAATCCATGCTTGTGACAGAGATTTCTCCTTTGCCCCCACAGGCTGTTAATAAGGACATATGTTAGGGCTAGGGTTGTGGCTCAGTGGCAGAGTGCTCACCTAGCATGCATAAGGCACAGGTTTGATCCTCAGCACCACATAAAAACAAAATAATGTGTCCACCTAAAACTAAAAGATACATAAATAAATAAATATTTTTAAAAAATAAGGACATATGTTACTCCATTTGATGCTGGCAGCTGTTTATGCCTAAGGATAAATAGGAGACAGATGAAATAAACCCAAATCCTGTTGATATCATGGAACTGCCACACAAATGAATCTTGAAGCTCATCTTCTTTGCTTTAGCTACCTGTGCTTTGTTATTTCAAGGGAAAAGCATCCTGATGCGGGAGCCCTCATGAACTTAAGAGCTCATTTTCTCTTTTTCAAGTTTTTAAAATCTACTTTTTTAGGGCATTCTGTATCCATGGAAGATTGTCAACTATCTCTTCTTGCTGTTCTCTGAAATGATAATGTAAAAATGGGAGTCCTGCAGTATGACACTGAATCCAAGCTCTTATGCTTATAATCTCTGGGGGAAAAAATTTTTCTGAGCCTCAGGATTTTTCTTTTATAAATCATAGTATCTGATAGAAATACTGCATTATCGTGACTGTAATGCCAAATAATTAACACTTATTAAGTAACTACTGGATTACTTTAATACTAGTTAGCACTTTCTAATCCTGAGAAGTTATAAGATTCTTGGAAGAGGAATGTAAGTTTTTAATCTTCATTTTCCCAGTGCCTGCCACATATTAATTGCTTAATAATTACTGGTAAGTTAGTGAAATAATTAAAAGTATAACCCAAATACATATAAACACTAGCAAACTGTCACCAAATTTCCCAGAACCATATCCATATATATATATATATATATATATTGACTTTAATTTTTATGTTAGATATTGAATTTTCACATACAGTTTTTTAAAGTCCTCCAGTAAGATATTTTTCTTAGCAAATAGACCATAAATATGTACTGCCCAAGGTTATGTTCTCAAACAGGCAACATAATTATCCATTTAAATCTCACCTGTTAAACCAGTAGGATATGAACTTGGCACCACTGAGAATGAGGAAGATGCTCCTCCAAAAGGAGTCACCCCTGAGGATCCTCCAAATGGTGTTATGGAAAGATTGCTAAAATTAACCGAAGTTCCTTTTGCTGAAGATGATGGTGCCACTGCAGTGTGCTCTGCTCCATAATGGCTGACACTTGTACTGACAGGCTCTGGAGTGTTTTCAGTTCTATATTTAATAGCTGGACTTTTGTTTTCTTTACTTTTAATGCAGCCCATTATCAAATCTACAGAGGAAATAGGCAAATATTTTGAGAAATAGTTAATATACATCATACTTTTAAAAAATACAATGGAAAATATGACTTTAAATAAAGCATCCTTCCAGCCTTACTACCCAGAAAAAAAGCAGTATTAAATTATGTCCCATTATCCTATATATGACAACTATAAAAACTTAAATTGAGCAGCAAATAAACTACACATAGTAACTTTAAAGGTAATTCTTTTTTAAAAACAGTAACTCTTAGTTGTAGTTTTTCCCATCCTATAACATTCAGAAGAAAGCAGGTGAATGATGACTGCCTGATAAATTCTGAAAGAGTGAACATTCATAACTTCAGTTATGTAATATTAATTCAAAATATAGCTATAAATATTAAAATAGAAGCAGTCTCAGAAACTCACAGTTGAAGGGTTTTCAGATCACTACTTTAAGTGGACACATTCTAAAGAATGTGACAATTGAATACAAACATCAAAACAAGATGGGTCTGGAAATTTAAGTATATACTGAATTTAAATATATACTGAAAACTATGAAGGAATTATAAACTAAATAATAAAAGGCAATTGCTGGGGCTGGCGTTGTAGCTCAGTCGTAGAGTGTGCGCCTATCACACGTGAGGCACTTCTTCCAATCCTCAGCACCACATAAAAATGAAATAAAGATATTGTGTCCACCTACAACTTAAAAAAAAAAAAAAATAAGGCGATTGCAGCCGGGCAAGTGGTGCACATCTGTAATCCCAGTGGCTTACAAGGGTGAGGTAAGAAGATCATGAGTTCAAAGCCAGCCTCAGCAATAGGCGCTAAGTAACTCAGTGAGACCCTGTCTCTAAATTCTAAATAAAATATAAAAATACAGGGCTGGGGATGTGGCTCAGTGGTTGAGTGCCCCCGAGTACCAAAAAAAAAAAAAAAAAAAAAAAAGGCAACTGCTACTAAAAGTATTAGGAAAAATCGTCATTTAATGACCCATATGAGAAAAAAGCAAAAGAAGAAACATGGAGCAGTCAATTATGAAAGGAAAAATGAGTTAGTTGATATGTAGAATAAATAAGTGTAGATGATAAGCTGAATATGGGGAGAGAAAACACAAAGAAAAAGTGGTCATTTATTCATCTTAGTATTTATAGTATTTATAGAACACTTAGTTTTTATATATGTATAATGAATGACTTCAAAGTTTGTAGTTTCAATCAAGTGGAAAGAAAAACCATAGCTGAAAGGAAACAAGTAGAGAGGGATAAGTTTTTTTTTTTTTTTTTTGACCAATGAGTTTAATTCCAGATGTATATTGTAGGTGCCTGTGAAGCTTAGTGAAGGATAATAAGTTTAAAGCTCAGAAAAAGGTGGGGAACTAGAGAAAAAATAAACAAAATATTTTCACAGTTTAACTCTTTTGGAGATAATAAAACTCACCCAAGGTACAGATTTAAAGAAAAATGAAAAATTAACACAATGCTGGAGGATACCTACATATAAGAGATAAGCAGCAATTACAGCTGTTAATACTTCCTTATTGAAAAAGATAATCATAAGCTTAAGACAATGACATGAGTTGGGTGGGAAAGAGCTTCAACTATAACATTTTTATCCTAAAATAAACATAAACAAATAGTGAAAATGTTAATGTATTAAATGTAGGTAATTATGTAACTATTTTCATGTGAAGTACTTTGTAATTTTTTAACAAAGTGCTAATAAGTAGAATAGTATAGAGGGAATAAAGACACAGACTCTCCAGATAAAAATGACTAACAGTGTTTAAAGACCAGAATGAAGTGACATTTAAACTGATTTTTAAAGGTTGGCTGATTAGAAATTAGAAGCCTGATAGGGGCTTTAGTGTTTCTTTTCAAAGAGCTGAGAATCAAATTCAGGACCCTCCAGTTTAGCTGGCCAGGTAAGTATTCTACCACTGAGCCATACTCCCGGTCTCAGGAATATCCCCCCATCCCTCCCCACCAATGGAGATAGAACTTGGTGTCAGAAAGTTGACCACTGACTTATATCTCCAGTACTTTCTTATTTTGAGACAGTCTCACTAAGTTGCCTAGGTTGGTCTTGAACTTATGATACTCTTGCTTTAGCATCCTCTTGCCTTGGCTGAGATTACCAGGCCTGTGGCACTGTACCCAGCTGGAACATTTCTTAATGTCATGAAGACATAGGATAGATTACAGTATACTGAAGAATACAGTAATGACTAGGTCATAAAAATAGGGATAATTTTTGGACTACAGCTTCATCAGCTGAGAACATACATTTACTATCAAGATGGCTTCTATAATTTCTTTGTATAATTTACTGAGCCTCTCCTTCACAGTCTTAATGTAATCTGATACAACAGACATTTGGTTACTGAACAATCATTCTCCCAGTTTTCTGATAGAAGAACCCTGACTTTATTTACCCTCCTTTCATTTGCCAAGTCGTTCAGAGGAGGCTCGACACCTTTCTAGCCCTAATGATTGACTTAAGCCACTCAGGGAGTCTCATTCCCTTGACAGTTTGCTTGTTGAGCCATGAACACAGGTTTCTAGAAAGTTTTCCTTACTTTCCATTTTTCTTGCACAGAAGTTACATTCACAAATATGAATGCCCATATCTGGGGCTGCTATCCAGAGACCTCAAGTACCTACCAGAGGTAACACACCAATATATTGAGAATGGAAGGGCAGGAAGACATAAGGAACTTGGTCCTAGATAGTGTTACTCAAATATTGTATAAACCTAAAACACACTTAAGATCCATTTATTATCCAGTAAACACCCACTGCAGAAGCCAGTTTTAGTTTGGCTTTCTGTTACTTGCAGCTGAAAAGATCTTAAAAAATATATTACTCAAATCACATGACAATGTTTAACATATTAAGTCTCTTTTCAACATATCATAAGGACATATCAGCTCTTCTCTTGCCTTCCTTGTGCTTGAGGTCAAATCCAGAACAATCCTGTGTGTACTAGGCAAGCACACTATCTTTCAGCTACATTCCCAGGCTCCAGATATCAGGATTCAATAGCATAACAACAAAGATTTCAAACTTCCCTCAAAGTGTTTATATAATCATAAAATATTCTTTTCTTTTTAATTTTTTTTAGTTGTTGATGGACCTTTACTATATTTGCTTATTTATATGTGGTGCTGGGAATCGAACCCAGTGCCTCACACATACAAGGCAATTGCTCTACCACTGTGCTACAACTCCAGCCCTCCATAAAATATTCTTTAAGTTGTAAAATTTAAACCTTAAAATCATAGGCAAACTATTTTATTCTGATATGTGTATGAATATTTGCTGGAAAACAATGTTTTAACTCTCAATCTGATTTATTACTGCTATTCTGAAGATTTTTTTAAACATTAACTTATTTAAAAATCACGGAAATCTTTCCTGACACTGTCATAAAGTTTTTACCTAAAATTCTTTAAAAAATAAAAAAAAATCAACTTTGAAGATATAATTTACATACAATAACAGGCAACCATTTTAAGCGTAAGGTTCAATGAGTTTTGGCAAATGTGTAAAATTATATACTATATTCACAATACAGAATATTCTGATCATCCCAAAGGTTCAGTTGTACCCTTCTCCAGGCAAATCCTAACTTCAATCCATAACCTCAGCCCTAGGCAATCATGATCTGTTTTTTCTAACTGAAGATTTATCTTTTCTAGGGTCTTACCTAAATAAAATCATATGTATTTTGTATTTAGCTTTTTCATTAAATCCTGTCTGAGATACTTCCATATCATTGCAATGTATCAGTAGTTTGTTAATTTTTATTGCTATGTAGAATCCCATCACTTGCCTATAACCCCATTCACTTGTTGATAGGTTTTTCGAGATGTTCCAATCTGAGGCTATTACAAAGGAAGCTACTATAAACATTCCAGTAAATCTTCAGGGGTGGGTTGAACATGAGTCATTCTCTTCACCACCACCCCCAGCAATATCTAGGAATAGAACTGTTTGATCATGTAATATAAAATTATGCCTACTTTTACCACAAAAAGCTATTAAACTGTTTTCCATATTGTCTATACCATTTTGCATCCCACCAGTAATCAATGTGAATTTCAGTTGCTTTATGTCCTCAACAATACTTCTTTTTTCTGTCAAAAACTTGTCATATACCTACATGGATTTGGATAGGATCCAAATATTCTGTATAGCTATGTTTTACATTTCCAAGCTTTGGCAATGGAAATCTATTGATATCGAAAGGTATATGACATCATAAAATGCATCTGGATGAACTGATGTTATATTATAAAAATCATATGAACTACATATTAACCGCTAACCAATTCACTGATACAAATTACAGTCAGGTACTGAATAATGGCACATCATCTTTAATCTCTCTTTATTTGCCAAAGTCAACAAAAAGCAGTTAAACAACATCCTATCTTCTAAAATATATTATTTCTACACTTAGGTTAGTTTCAATGGTAAACTAAGTAAGCATGCACATTAATTACTAAGATATGATGAGGAATCTCTTACATTTGCAATGCTTCAAGGATCGGTTTCTCACTTTCTAAAAATCCTATTTAAAAACCAGGATTTAACTTACATAATTAAAAGTCACCCTTATTAATATACAGGTTATTCGGGTATGCACTTTTTTTTTTTTTTTTTTTTTTTTTTTTGTGGTCCTGGAGACTAAACCCAGGGCCGAGCACATGCTTGACAAGTGTTTTCCCACTGTTACAACCCCCAGCCATTTTAAAAAATTTGAGTTAGGGTCTCATTAAGTTGCCCAGGTTGGCCTCAAACTTGCAATCCTCGTGCCTCAGCCTCTCAAGTAGTTGGGATTACAGATGTGTGCCACCATGTCTGGCTCAGGTCTGCAAGTTTTGACAGATGCATACAATTGTACATTGGCCACATCAATGTCAATAAAGAGCAATTGCATCACCTCCCAGGATTCTCCTATTCCCCTCTGTACTCTCCTTACAAGCCCAGAGAACCACTGATCTATTTCCTGTTCTTAT